CGTGAAATTAACAAGTCCCTTCCAGCCTGGCAGAGGTGAAGCTGAAAAATTACCCAGTGGTGTGGGTGGGCAAGAATGGGGAGGAGCAGGGCAGAAGGGAAGAGGGGATAAGCCCCAACCCCACACCCTGGCTGGAGCGGAGCAGGGTAAGCCCCGAGGGGATGGGTCTGGTTGCAAAGTGGGTGAGTGGACAATGAGGACCCACCTGTGGCTAAACTCCTGTTCCCAACACAGAATTTTTCTTTAAAATTAATCCTGTGGATAAATTCTCACACACACTTCACAGGAAGGGATTTCCATTTTCTGCTCAGCAGAAAACAACAACAGCTTTGATTGTATCTCTATTTCACTGTGCTTTCCAATGACTATTGTTTACACTGAATACCCATTTCACTGAACCATCTGTAGCAAATTCTATTTGGAACAGTAATATGCATTGAATAAACTTTTTTTATTTATAAAAAACAAAGATTCTGACTATTAAATGAATAACTGGGATCCCAGGTACCCCAAAAGGAAGATTTGGATATAGCATGAAACACTGAAACTTATGATCAATTTTTAATTAAAATATCAACCAAAAAAACCTTCATATCAAAACAGTATGTGTTTTTCTTAGAATAAGGAAGTTGTATGAGAATCAGGGTCTTTTCCACCTAACTCCAGCTTCCCCCCGCCAAAAAATATGTACCAGTTCCGACTTACATACAAATTCAACTTAAGAACAAACCTACAGTCCCTATCTTGTACGTAACCCGGGGACTGCCTGTAGTTGACTAGTTGCTCTCCCCTCCATCCCCCTTGCTGCCTCTATCTGATAGAGGCAGTAAGGGTGGGGAGAGAAGGAGGTACTTCAAAGTGGCAGCGTAGCACAGAGCCTGGGATCAGCTGTACAACGCTGCCCCTTTGAAATGCCACGGTGGTGTTTCAAAGGGGAAGCGCCATCCTATCGACTCATCGAATAGTCAATGCAAAAATGCATTAACTATTCGATTAGTGAATTACTCGATACTTAGCATCCTTAATTTAAAATGGGACTAAAGTGAGAAAAATGGAAACATTGCGGACAATAATGACCATTTACACATTATTTGTTCCTTTAGAACAACCTTTTTAATATTGGGGACTGGTAAACCTATTCAGTCTTTTTTGGTGAACCAGCCTTGTTTTATTTGAATATTCATTATGCAAATAATGAATATGGAAATAAAATGTTGCCAATCCACCCAAAGCCCTGGCCCCCAGAGCCCACTAGTGCCAGCCCTAACCCCTAGAATCCTTCACCCTTGCACTATCCCCTAGTGCCATCCCCTGCACCCAACCCTCTGTGCCAGTCTCCCATCCTCAGAGCGCTGCAGTGCCAGCCCTTATCTCTGCCACCTCAGTGTCATCTCCCCACCCCTACGAACTCTCCCACAAGATCCCCCAGTTCCAGACTCCTGTTTCTAGAGCCCCACTGCACCCAGCCTCCCCAGCCCCCAATATTAGCGCCATCCCCAGAGCCTCCAGTGCCAGTTCCTGTTCCTAAAGCCCCCTGCTCCCAGAGCCCACCCTGTTCCCAAAGCTCCCCACCTCAGGAGCCCCCCCAGTACTAGCACTGCTTCTGGAGCCCCCAGTGCCTTCCCTGCTTCCTTCACCTAGTCCTACGTTGCCTCAAAGCCCCCAGCTGAGCACAGCTGCTTGGGTTGCAGCTGCTCTGGGTGCTAGGGCTGGGGAATGCAGCCCAGCTCCTCCTCTTCCACCCCAGCTTTTGGGAGAGGTGCATCCTGACCCTGTGCCTCAGCCAACCAGCACCGGGCAGGGGTGGGGTCTCCTCCCAACCACAGAAGAGCAGTTTCCTGCACAGGGAACCACTCTTCAGCAGCTGAGAGGAGACCCCGCACTGTGCAGCCCTCCCGCCCCAGGGGAAAGGTGTTGGTTGGCTGAGAAGTGGGGCAGAACACGCCTCTCTCAACAACCATGGCAGGCTGGAGGTGCTGGGTGGTGGTCCCCAGGACAGCCGGTCTGCAGATCGGCTGTTAAGAACCGTAGCTTTAGAAGTCACGTAAGACTTGTCTACATATACACATAATTTGCTGCAAAATGGGTTATATACATGTCTACCACCGCCATTCTGCTATCCATGTGGACCTTGCTGCCATGCTCCAGAAGTTCTCTAGTGAACTTTAATCTATTCTGTTTTGAAACAGGAGCCAGATTCAAGTGCTTTTGGAAACTGATAGTGCATGGGTATTTAGATGGATATTTTAGCAAGCTGCAGACTAGTGTGGGGTGATTTTACACTCCAGTTTGTCACTATTCATGTAGGCATTTCAGTGAGCACAGTTTTAGTGGAGCGAAGAGGATGGAAAACAGATTAGGGGAAATCGTTAGATGACTAAATCAAGGCAACAGTGAACTATACGCTGTTGCATTTTATACTTGATAAATCCTGGGATTATAAACCATTTTATTTGTAATCACTTAATTGTAATGCTATACCTTTCCTTGCTGTAACATTATATAGAAAGGGTAGCTGGAAAGCATAAATGTGAAAAACATGTAGAGAAAAACTGTGCATTATAGAGATAATATTTCTAGCAAGATATTTAAGCTCTTCTTGGCCTGTACTTTGCTTTGAAGTTAACACTCTATTTACAATTGCAAAACTCTTGGGATTTTAATTAGAACAACAAACTATTCTGTTCATTAATCTGGCCCTTACATTATTTGGCATTGCGTATTGCAAGATACTGAAGTTAATTATACTTGGCATCCTCCTTTGTCCTATTAAAATGCAAACAGGCCACTGATAGGAAATAACAGCCACATACGTAGCTTGAAGTTTCATATGAGCTTTCTTTATTGAATACAAAGCTCCCTAGTGGGCCTTTTTTCACTATTACTGGAAGATAAAAACATTGGCAAAAACAAAGTCTGTGTTTGCCAAATACTATAATTGTGAATGGATGTTTTAAACAATGGATTGTGCATCAGTTATGCACAGTTATGCCTGTTCTGTTAAGGATGGGTATTCTAAATTTTAGATTCACAGTAACATTCTTTGTGGCATTAATTCTCAGGATTAAGTTCAGAGTGTTGATGCTAAAGAAAAGTCTATTACTGGTGTCCTTGTTTCAGATAATTAATTTGAAAATGCTGATAACTTATTGAGAACATATGTAAACTATTTGCTTCATGGAATATTTGCACATTACAGACACTGATTTTTTCTTTGTTCCTCAGTTATGTTTGATATGCACCCTGTGTGCTGTATTCTGGGTAAGTGATGAACTCAAACCCTTTGTCCTTTTAAAGAGCAAGCTGGCTTTCATAGGTTTTTGGCTTTGGCAATACTCTGTATTTCATCTAATACTTTAGAATAGTTCTAGGACTGTGTCATTAAAGTTCTCATCCCACGAGGAATAACGAGGCTGCCAACAAAGGGCTTTGATGTCGGCAGGGGAGCGTCCAGACTAGCGCACTGAGCGGACAAACAGCTGATCAGCTGTTTGTCGGCTCAGCGCGGCAGCCATGTAAATTTAAATGAAGCTGCGATTATTTAAATTGCCGCTTCATTTCCCTTTGCCTACAACCCTCATCTACATGGTTCCGTCGATGGAGCCATGTAGTCTAGACACAGCCTAATGTTGCTGAGACTGTGTATTGATGGTGATTATAAAGGAGATGATAGTTGGGTTATTGGAACACGTTGTTGTGAAGTTTCAGAAATAGGGAAGACTTGACTATCAAAGGTGATAATTAGCTGTCTTCAGCTGAAATGATCAAATTTTTCTAACAATTGTTATAGTTATTGCATAGTGTAAGGAAGCTCTGTTTAAGCACACACACCACTTAATTAAGGAGACTGATCATTGTGGATCAGCGAAGGTTTTGGAGTGAACTTCTAGTTGCTAAACTAATTTATTTTGTATAAATCAATTTTAATCTGAAGTGTTTCTTTTGTTTTAGTGGGGTAAGAAAGGCTTGGCCCTGCTATTCTGCATCCTCCAGTTCTTAGCAATGACCTGGTAAGGTTTTCTGCACATCATCTTGAATTGTTTTACTTGCTACATAAACTTGTCATGTATTTAAGAGGTACATGTGAAAATACTTAATGTAGATAAGGCCTAATTCTGCCCACAAGTCACATATTGCTCTAATTTAAATTACATATGTGCAGTTGGGCAGGATTTAGCTCAAAATACCTTGCAGAAAAGTGTTTTGTAGCTATAGATATCTGCTGTAGGACTACTTGTGGGTGGTGTTGGGTGGGTTTTATTTTTATTTTTAGTTCCAGACTAACATGGCTACCCCTTTGAAAATTGTAGAAAATGTGGTGATTAATTTACTGGGTCTGAGAGAGTGATGGGTAAGGTGCCCTGGTGAAAGGTGGAACATCCAGAGTTCCCTTGTTCTGACTGTTGAAATATTTAATACAAGTAAAGTGCACCAGCTTCAATTATGAGAGACTAACAGGGCACTATATCAGAATATGCCATAGCTTAGTGGTTAGAGTACTCTCCTAAAACATGGAAAACCCTTGTTCAAGTCTTTCCTCTCCCTCAAGAGAGGATTGTTAGGGGGGATTGAACCCAGATCTCCCACGTCCCAGATCTGCACCAGTTTAAAAGTTAAGGAAGGTACAGCCACCTACTCTTCTTCTGGCAGGATTTTGACTGGGGACTGATGTGAGAGGCATACTCTGAACTAGGGATCATAGAATCCTAGAATACTAGGACTGGAAGGGACCTCGAGAGGTCATGTTCAGTTGTGGTTAATCAGGTATTGGAGTAGTGGATAGAATTTCCATCGACTACTCGATTAGTTGATAAGGAGGCAGGGGAACGCTTACTACTATTACGTTTAAACTGCAGAGCTGTAGCAAAGTTAGATCTCGGAGGCAGCATAAGCCGGGACTAAGCAGTCGCTAAACTGCAGAACTGCAGCATCCCGAAGTCGGTGCAAACCAGGACTGGTTAGTCTGGCTTGTGCCAGCCCCAGAAGCTAACCCTGCTGCAGGCTCTTACTACATTTTAAAATGCAGAGCCACAGTGGGGTTAGCTCCTGGGGCGGCACGAGTTTGGACTGAACAGTCCCAGCTTGATCCAGCTCCTGGACCCTGCAGCTCTGCCCCCTCCAGTCGCCCCCAGTGGAGATAGTGCTGGAAGGAACCAGCTTTTAAGTCTGCTTCCCTCCTCCTTGCTGCTTCTGATACAGACTCGACTACTCTCTCGCATCCCTACTCAGAACACACCTATTGGATTGGGTCCCACAGGTAAGATAGGTGGACAAATACTAGTGGTCTGGCTAGCAGATCACATTGGGGATAGGCAACTGGATGGTTACAGCAAGATAAAAATGCATGAGCCAACAGGCAAAAACTTCAATACCCTGGGAACTTTCACAGCAGACAGCTGGGTGTAATGAAGGAGTAGGGTGGGAGTTATGAATCACTTTTGGTACCTGGGAAGACAGATACCTTTGTGAACCTGGGCAGTCGTGATTTTATATAGGAAAATCAGGTATGGTTTTCCTGTATTAGCACCAGGAAAGAGGGACACACTTTTTTCAAACTCTGGCCAATGTGTGATTGAAATAGCTTACAGGTTGGAGTTTAGGAAGGCAAATACTGGACAGTGAGTTCGGCTGCATGCCCAAGCTAGTGCAGGAGTGTAGTGCAGGGGTGAGGCTTTAAATCTTGAGTTCCCAGAGGTAAACAGAAGAAAATTCTGAGCTTACTGGTGAACCCTATTAGCCTGGAGGAATAAGAGAAGACATTAAGTCACTGCAGGTAGAGATGCCTTTCAGGTATACCCTTGTGTCCTTTCTCATGGGAAGAAGTGAGGATTCAGAAATAGGCTGAAGTGGGCCATCCTTGAGCTGGGGATCAGCTGTGCAACAGCTGCCCCTTGGAAATGCCACCTCTGCGTGTTTCAAAGGGTCAGCTGTGGACCCTGGGGTCAGCTGGGAACTCCCCAGCTGATCCCAGCCTCTGCATGGCATTTCCCCAGAACCTGGGGTCAGCTGCAGAGTCCCCAGCCGATTCTGGATTCAGCTGAAATGCTGCCTGGAACTGGGGTGAGCTGGAGAATCCCCCTGGTGACCCTGGACTCCATGGCTTAGAAATGCACAAGAGCTCCCGCTGGGGAGTCTTGAACATTTCAAAGCAGCCACCTGCCTGCAGCCCAGAGTCAGCAGGACTTCCTGCTGGCCCTGGGCTGTGCAGAGTTCCACATTCCTCCTTTGAAATGTATAAGAGCCCCTGCTATGGACAGGGGAGAGGCACCTTTCACCTTGCCCTGAGCTGCTATGATAAGAGATAATGGTATCTTGCTCTCTCTCCACTTGCTTCCCCCGGGCTGCTTGCATCCCAGATTGCTTAATCTCTGGCCCTACCACAGAGCCTGTGCTTCGAGTGTGCTTACCCCACAGCACACCAACCCCTTGGCCCTATATCCACCACACGTTGTCTGTGTGGAATGACTTTTGTTATATACCCCTCCACAGTGGTACTTATATCAAAAGTAATTTTGCACATGGACATAAAAAATGAGGAAACACTGCATACTACCAGGTACATACTTACATGAACTACTTTATCAAACTAAACAGTTTCTTTGTTACCTTGGTTTATGGTAGAATTGTAGGTTTTATATTGAAGATGGAAAGGAATAGTCAACTACTTGCGTTCTTCACCCCCACTCCCCTTGCTACTTCTCTATCAGAGGCAGCAAAGGGCAGGAAAGAGGAGATTAAAAGCTGCCTCCCTCCCCGCCCAGCACTGTCTCCGCAGTGCTGCCTGTCCCCTTCGCTCCTTGCTGTCAACTCTATCAAAGGCGGTGGTGGCAGGAGGACAGGGACTGCTTCTGGCTCGGCAGGCAGCTTGGCTCAGTCCTGTTTATGCTGCTCTGCAGTTTAAAAGGCAGTAGGAGCTGGGGAGCCTGCTCCCGCTCCCTGCCCCGCCCCCAGCTCCTTTTGCATTTTAAATTGCAAAGCTGCAGCAGGGTTAGGTCCCAGAAATGGCATGAACTGGGTTGCTTATCGACTAATCAAGTAGTCAATAATTCTATTAACTACTCAATTAGTTAAATACCTGTCGCTTTACTCAACTATATAAAATAGGCAGGGCTCGACAATTAATGTAATCTACTCGTCCGTGGCAAGTAGATTACAAGCTGGCACAGACGCGCAGCGCGCGGGGTTCGCCGCTGCTTGGCAAGCCCTGGAAATAGGGATGTTATCACTCTTCAAGAAACCAAGCTGAGAATTTTAAGTGATAGTACATCTCCATATTCTGTTTTGTAGTGGAATTCATAGTCAATGAAAGTTAAGTGCTACATAGCAACACACATCATAAAAAGAGACAAGAATCTCTTGGCAGTACACTTAGTTATTGAAGTATTCTTTTATTGTAAAGTGCAGAGTTTAACAGTTAATGTAATCTACTTGCCCGGGGCGAGTAGATTACAAGCTGGCACAGCACGGTCAACACATGCGCAGTGCAGTCTGCGCATGCGCAGTGCAGTCTGCGCATGCGCAGCGTGCAGAACTGCGCAGCTGGCGAGCAGAGCTTGCCGCCACTTGGTGAGCCCTGGTAAAATGGATATAATTTCAATATGTAATCCTATTGCATGGTTTATTATAGCAGTCTGCAACAAAAACAGTGAATTGATATGTAGAAAACAAATTAAACATTTCAAATGAAGACCTTTTTCCTTTTTCCTTTTTTTTTTTTTTTTCAGGTATAGTCTCTCATATATTCCTTATGCAAGGTGAGTCACCATTAATTGATCTCCGTTTAAACAATTAAAAGTGAGTCCGTTTAGTCCTAATTATTTTTCAAGAGTGTAATTAAATCACACTCTTTAAACTTTTCTAATTTTGAAAAGCCAAATGTAGCCTCCATATTTTATATATATCTTAGCTTTTGGGTGGACAGTAACTGTTTGAATTGAAAGGTCTACCATTAACAGGTTATAATTAAGACTGGAACTTTTCAGCTTAGAAAAGAGAAGACTAAGGGGGTGGATATGACAGACGTCCATAAAATCGTGACTGGTGTAGAAAAAGTGAGTAAGAAAAATGTTATTTACTTGTTCCCATAACAGCATAACACAAGAACTAGAGTCACCAAATGAAATTAACAGGTAGCAGGTTCAAAACAGACAAAAGGAAGTATTTCTTCATGCATGGTGTCCCTAGCCGCTGTTGGTCAGTGACTGGCAATTGGTGACAGTGGAGAGATCACTTGATGATTACCTGCTCTGCTCATTTCCTCTGGAGCACCTGTCATGGGTCACTGTTGGAAGACAGGATATTGGGCTAAATCAGCTGTGGGCAAAAAGCCCTCTGCAGGCCAGATCTGGCCCAGCAAGTGAGTTGATCAGGCTCTGCTGCTCCCCCTGTCCCCAGGCCAATTAGGGCCTGGGGTTGCAGGAGTGCACAAAGTCGCCTCCCACCCTGCAAGGAGTGTAGGGATGCTCCTTGCAGGGCAGAAAGAGATTACTCCATCCCCACCCCAACCCTCACTCCTGCCCCCACCCCAAGCCAATCAGGTCTTGGGAGGGGGAGCATGTGAAGTCTCCTGTGGCTCTGCAAGGGGCTCAGCATTTAAAGTCTACCACTAGCTGCTGCTCAGCTGGCGGTTGACTTTAAGCAGTTCTCCCTTGCAGGGTGGGGGCAGGAAGAGAGAGATTTCACATGCTCCCCATCTCTAGGCCCTGATTGACCCGGGAGAATCAGGAGGAAGCACATGAAGTCTCTTCCCACTGCCAGGAGCACAGGTACCTAGAGGGAACAGCCAGCTGTTGTGAACAAGTAGCGGTGCCCAGACTTTATGTGCTCCTTCACCCACAGACCAATCAGGGTCTGTGGGTGGGGAAACGGGAAGTGTCCTGGCTCTGCCCCTTCCAGGGAAGACCGGAGCCACTTCAAAAATAGGGATGCTCCTTGCAGGGCAGAAAGAGATTACTCCATCCCCACCCCAACCCTCACTCCTGCCCCCACCCCAAGCCAATCAGGTCTTGGGAGGGGGAGCATGTGAAGTCTCCTGTGGCTCTGCAAGGGGCTCAGCATTTAAAGTCTACCACTAGCTGCTGCTCAGCTGGCGGTTGACTTTAAGCAGTTCTCCCTTGCAGGGTGGGGGCAGGAAGAGAGAGATTTCACATGCTCCCCATCTCTAGGCCCTGATTGACCCGGGAGAATCAGGAGGAAGCACATGAAGTCTCTTCCCACTGCCAGGAGCACAGGTACCTAGAGGGAACAGCCAGCTGTTGTGAACAAGTAGCGGTGCCCAGACTTTATGTGCTCCTTCACCCACAGACCAATCAGGGTCTGTGGGTGGGGAAACGGGAAGTGTCCTGGCTCTGCCCCTTCCAGGGAAGACCGGAGCCACTTCAAAAATTTCTGATGTGGCCCCGGTCAAAAATTATTGCTAATTCCTGGGCTAGATGAACCTTTGGTCTGACCCAGTATGGTTGGTAGATGTCAGAATTAAACCATAAAACAAGTCATCCTGCCTAATGAGCATTGACGGACCTATACACCATGAATTTTTTTTTTAACTTTGTTAAAGTCTTGGCCTTCACAGTATATCCCGGCAGGGAGTTCCACAGGTTGACTGGGCGTTGCATGAAGAAATACTTCCTTTTGCCTGTTTTAAACCTGCTACTTCTTAATTTCATTTTGTGACCTCTAGTTCTTGTGTTATGGGAACAAGCAAATGACTTTTTCTTTGCTCATTTTTTCCACACCAGTCATGATTTTATGAACCTCTGTTGTACCTCCACAGACCCCATCTCCTTTTAGAGGAAAATTCCCAGTCTTGTTAATCTCTCTTCATATGGAAGCTAGCGATATAAGTCACTAGTGGACTATAGGATAAGCATAAGCTTCTAGGCTAGTTGACTAGTGATGCAGCAAGGGTGGGGGAGCAAGAGCCAGTGCTGGGGAGAGTTGGCTTAAAAGCTGGCTCTTTCAGTACTGTTTCCGTGGAGGACAGGGGAGGTAGAGACACAGCGGGAAACAGAGGAAGCGGGGACTGAACCAGTCTCCACTCCCGCTGCTTCTGCTGTGATTCTGCTTTTGAAATGTACAAGAGCCCCAGCAGGGGGACTGTTGTCAAGATAGCTGAAAGCAGGGAAATAATACAAAATTAAATATTAAAAGATGGTATCTTAATTTTGATGCATCCCAACTTCTCCAGTCAGACTTTTAACTTTCTAAATGTTCACAACCATGTTTCACTTGTAGGCTTATTTTTGTTCAGATCGGTTTAATTCATTCTGCTGTTTTAGTACACTCAAATATATTCGTACATCTAGATATATTAATAACCAGTGCTTTTCTTGTGACGGTCGGCCCCAGTACTTTAATTGAATGGGATTCCCCTCTGGCATACCAGCACCTATTTCCTGGGGCAGCTTGACTCCCAATGCTCAACAACTTTTCCATTTTGTGTTTTTCCCTTTTTTTCTTTCTCTCAACAACTTTGAACTTGGAGTACCGGCACCTCTTTTCTTACAAAAAAAGCACTCTTAATAATTATTGGGGGCCAGCTTTTACTTTCTCTTATTTGAATGCTGATCTGGTAAAACATGAGTTGACTAGTTTCAGTTCAGTTTGAATTAGATAATATAAAAATGTCTTCAATAAATCCCAAGACATCTATGCTCATTTTGACCAGTAGTTTTAATAGTGTACAAGCCTAATTCCTTATCAGGTAATTGAAATATTTTCTAGTATAAAATGTCGTCCCAGATAGAGCTTCCAGTGTTGTCTATCTCTATAAGTAATTGGCAGAGCTATTCCGTGATGCCACAAAGTGGCATTGCATAACTTATCTTCTGTATTCATTTGTTTTAATGTGCATTAAAAAGGTTATTGCAAGAAAATACCCCTATTGAGGAGTGTTTACTTTGAGTAGGATGTATACGTCCTATTTTTAGCACGGGTTTGATTATATAAATCTTAATGATAGGACAGCTGTGTTGGGGCATATGGAAATAATTTACTTACCTAAACTCAAGAATATGGGGAATGTCCTTCCATTTTTAAAATTGCTAACAAACAAGTACAAAGTCTGCTGAATAGCAAATCATTAAAGTTTTGGGAAGATGAAAAAATGAGACTGCGCAAATTAAGACTAATCAAAACAGAATAGTGTACAAAAACAATGTGCAATATGCTTGTCAGAGAAGAAGTGTGCCTTCAGCTCTTTCAAACTCTCCAGAGTTTAATATAAATTATCAGAATTCTGCATATAAGTAATTTCCATTTTATCTAAAATAGTGCATCATTGAATTTGTATGTTTTTATAATTAATTTGCTAATATTTTTCAGATTCCATAATATTTTGTTGCATTTCCACAATTTAAATGTAGCCTGTTAAAATTAATTGTTTTTTTTTAAAGGGATGCTGTGATTAAATGCTTCACGTCGTGCCTGAATTAGACTAAGCAAAACACCAAACTAGTCAACATATTTTAAAACCAGCTTATGTTTTTGTGACTGTGTATCAAAAAAATTTTATGAATGTCCGCTCCTGAAACACCTGATGCCAATTATAGTATCTCCCTTGCCTTTTGCACAATGGGGATTAAATTATTTTAGCAAGAAGAAGTTTTAAATATGAGCCAAGTAAGCTGTGTTTTATTCCTGTCTGAACCTTTTAGAAAGTAGTATAGGACTAACACTTTAGGCAATGGAGTCATAAAACGGTTTGACTCAGTTCTGTTAACACAGTTTAATCCCCAAGGTAGATGGTTCAGGATTTGAGTAATGTATGTACAATTTCTTATAAAGTTTTGTGTATCATTTATGTTATTACTATTGGTTGTTCACTCTATGCATTTCCCAAAGATCAGGATTTTATAATGATTGTAGAGAAAATGTTTAGTTAATTATAGCTGGTAGGACTGCTTTGAAATGTTTGTACGTTTGTAACCGTATGGAGAAAGCTTTATATGAGCATGTGAGGTCTGGTAAAAGCTTACTCAGTTTTGTTATAATGCTAACATTTTAAGCACCAATTTTTTTACTTTGAAACTTAAAATATGATTAGAATGACTTATGAAAATAATATATACATTGATTTACAAAATACATGCATTTTAAATGTCTACAATTTTTAAACTTGAGCCACGTGGCAGAAAATTAAAAGGCTGTTTTTGAAAATGTGTTCCATTGTGGAAGTAATAATTTGAAAGTGTGTTGACTAATTTCAATCTTTTACTGCCCTCCCATCTTTGTCAGTCTAAACATAGTTGATAAATGTACCAAACTCTAACTCAAACAGTCTGAATATGAAGTAGGGGTGAGCAAAATCAGGACCAGGGATGAGATCTGGCCTGCCCACGAAAGCTTACGCTCCAACACTTCAGTTAGTCTATAAGGTGCCACAGGACTCCTCGCCGATTTTTCTTCAGCTTGCCCATAGGCAGAACACACATACTTACAACCTGCAGCATGTGTTCAGCTACTCCTCTTCCTCCCCTCCACCACTCCCACCTTTCTCCATCCTGCCCCAGAGCTGATCCCAGGATTCTCATGCTAGCTGTGCAGAGGGGAGGAGAGTGCTGAAGTCAGTGTGTCCCCCTGCCCTGTACCCATTCTCTACAGAGCTGGTCTAACCTGAAGTGTGGATAAGTGACTCAGAAGTGCCAAGTTAGAGGAGGATAGAGATAACAGCAGAAGAGAGGGCCCTTAAAGAAAAAGAACAGGGCTTCTCAGAAACTTAGCCAGCACACACACATACTGTGTGTCACTGTCATACACACCCAGTCTATGCCACGCTTGCGTGCCCACACGCGTACTCATTGTCACATACATAGGTGTGCGCACGGGGTGTGCTGGGTGTGCCCAGGCACACCCTAATGTCTCTGGCCGGCTAGGGGCTGCTGGAGGAGGAGGGGTATTTGAGATGGGGAGCCGCAGCCCCTCACTTTCCCCGTGGCCATCTATGGGGCACTTTGGGGGCCAGAGAGAGCGTGTGCACAGCGGAAGCAGCTGGGCCCTGACTACAGACACTGGCCCGAGCCATTTTTGCGCCCCAGACCCTGTCTGGCCTGGCAGCACGGTGTGGTGCCCCTTCTGCACCCAGGGGTGCCCCTGCCTAGCCTGGCAGCACCGCACAGCACCCCTTCTGCACCCGGGGGCGCCCCAGCTCAGCCCAGCAGCACTGCCAGCCCTCTCAACTGGAAAGCAGAAGCCGGCTTAGCCTAAGGTGAGGTGTGGTGTGGGAGAGGAAGGGGCTTATGCTGAGGGGAGGGGGGCAGATGAGGAGAAGAAAGGGGAAGGCACCAAGGGACAGGGGAGAGGAGGGGACAATGACAGGGCCAAGTGGGAACAATGAGGAAAAGGGCAGGAGGGGAGGTGTCAGTGGGAGGGGGGACAGGGTGATACGGGGAAAGAAGAGGGTAAGGGTATTAGGGGTTAGAGGGGGGGAGGTGGAGGTGCTGGGAGAAGAGTTGAAAGGAGGGGTGGGCATGAGGAAGGCAGGGATGGAGCAAGACTTGTGAGGGCAGAGGCATGAGGGGAATGGGGGCAGAGGGTGGTGTGGGGGTGGGCATCAGGGAAAAAGGGGGCAGGGGCAGTGAGGGAAGTAGGAGGCACCAGGAGGGTGCAGGGGTAAGGGAAGGTGTGGGTGCTAGGGGATTCTGGGGGTAAAGCAGAAGGGCAGACGCCTGCAGGGGAGGGACTCCCCACTCTGGCATGATAAATGCAGAAGTGGGGGCCAGCACTTATCTACCAGGCTTTGGTATAAAACTTCCCCCAAGATCTTAAAAACCCTAGATCTTGGGAATAAAACTTCCGCTGCCACCACCCAAATGTTGCTAAAGAAACCAGGGGAAAGATCATTTGGGAAATCTTCCCCCTAAAACAAAAATCAGGGCACACCCTTAACCACTGCCAGGTTAATAAAAGAAAAGAAAGAACTTTTATTATTACAACAATATTCTGGTTGCAAGTATAATGACTAGAGAGGAAGGTAACAAAATATACTCATGGAGAAACTCCATGGGCCTAGAACTTAGTTACAAAGAAAAGCCAAAACGTCTTTTAGGCAGTGCCAGATCTCAGATCCCATACCCAATCCATAACACAATAAAACCTAACGAAACTACCTAAACTTTACCCTACTTACAGAAAATGAAGAATGGTGTCTTGGAGAGAGAGAGACATGCTTGTCCCTCTCTGTAGCTGCAGAGAACTCCCCACAGAGAGACAAAAAAAAAAAAAAAAGCCCAAATTCCTTTGTCCCAGTTTGAAAAGTCCCACCTACATTCTTATTGGCCACTCCACCTGGCTAGGTGTAGTTAACCCCTTAATCCCCAGGCTGCTGGCTAACCCTCATAATCATGACAGGAGGCACTAGGACGATGCAGGGGTAAGGGAAGGTGTGGGTGCCAGGAGCTTCTGGGGGTAAAGCAGAAGGGCAGACACCTGAAGGGGAGGGACCAGCACCAGAGGGGAGAGGCAGGGCAGGTGTACAGGGAGGTGTTAGCTGAGGGGATGAGGAGGGGTAGCTTGCATGATCAGAGTGGGGCTACTGGAGGAGTGGGCACAGGAGAGAGAGGAGGGCTGGTGGGGGGGGCAGGTCTCTGGAAGGCTGAGGGCAGTGAGAAGGGCAGGATAGCAGAGGAGGTTGAGGGGTTGGGGGCAGCAGGCACCAATGGAACTGATGGATCAAGGGGAGACATGGCAGCAGAGGGAAAAGGTAGAGGTTTATAAGATAGTTATTAATAACTTGGGTACCACAGTGGCACATCCAAACAAGCCACATGAACTCAGTACTGGTGCACAACACAAATTTCATTCTGCAGATGGGAGGAAACTCTTAGAGCAGTGGTCCCCAATGTTGCGTGGCTGCCGCGCGCCCGGGGGCACCGCGTTGGGGACCACGGTCTTAGAGGGAACACTTCCCCCAGCTCCTCTGCACTTGAGTTAATGTCACATATATTGGGTTTAATGCAATTGCAGGAGAGTTGCATAAGGGGGGTTTGGTGAGGGCCAAACTAATCCCTATTGGTAGAAGGATTACCTATTGGTGGGAAAAGTCCTTAGAGGGGGTCACGTGACACCTTTTACTTCTGGTCATGTGTCCATCTTGTCCCAAGAGTGTTACCTCCAGAGGTGTGGCCAATGGGAGTTGGAGTGTGCCCAGTGGGGGTCGGGTGTGGCTAATGGGGGGTCAAAGTACATTTTAAAACTCTGGGTGCACACCCTAATAAAATGTGCTGCACATCTATGGTCACATACAAAATGCTGTACACTCAATCTGTATCTCACACAGTCTGTGTCGCTCACAAAATGTTGTCATCTTTGAGTGCTGCTTGGGAAAAAGCTCCAAAGAGACGGTGCACGCGGCGCGCGCACACCTTATTTGAATGGACATGATCAACGCATATCGAAGAACAAAAGTTACAGGTAAGTAACTGTTCTTTTCCATACTCTCACTGGGAATGTAAACAACTAAATGACTATTTGATGAGCAAAAGCTTATCGGATAGTCAACACGCTAGTTGACTCATCACTTCCTCCTCCCCCTTGCTGCCTCTATCACAGAGGCAGCAGGGCAGGGAAGAGGAGAAGGTGCTGGAGGGAACCAGTCTAAAAGCCCATTTCCAACAACTCCAGCTCTGTGGGAGGGCATAGGGGCGCAGTTGCAGCCAACTTTGAAATGTACAAGAGTGGGAATCTTGTGCATTTCAAAGAGGAAGCCTCTTGAGGAGCCTGGGGCCAGTGGTGGATTCAGAGTTCCCCAGCTAACCTGAGGATCCATATGGCATGCTCAGTGGAGGCAATTGTGCAGTGTTACTTAAACTTTTCAGACTGAGGAACAATAAACAATTTTTTTATGAGGAACACAAGCATTTTTAAGCCAAAAAAAGGGCTTGCCCCTTTAAGGGAAAAGTTGTTGGGGGGGGCGGGGCGGGAGGGGAAGCCCCAAGGAAAAGTGGTTGAGCAAATCAAATGAACATAAAAGGACAGGGAAAAGAAGTTAAGCAACAAAAAACCGAAAAGTTTGTCCTTTTACCAGGAGAGCAGGCATTCTCCTTTTAAGGCTGACACTTTTGAAATCTGTTCAGGCATTGCCCTTTTAAGGGTGGCCCTTTTGAGCTGTACTCCGCGGCACACTTTCAACTAACTTGTGGCACACCAGTGTGCTGCAGAACACAGTTTAAGAAACACAGGTTAAGAAATGCTGCCCTCGTGCATTTCAAAGAGGAAGTGCAGCAGGAAGCCTGGGGCCAGTGGGATTCCCTGTTGGCTCCAGGCTCCACACAGCCCCAGCAGGGGCTCTTGTACATATCAAAGGCGGAACATGGAAGTCCTTATCAGCTACCTGAATAATCAATGGAAATCCCATCGACGATTCCATAGTTAATCTACATTTAACATCCCTAACTCTCTCTGGGTATGTCTACACTACAACGTTAATTCGAACTAACGGATCCAGACTAAAAAATTAGTTCGAATTAGCGTTTTGCTAATTCGAACTAGATGGCCGGAAGCAGTGCCGGCAGGGCATCAGATTAGGACTTAGAGCGTGAAGCTGGTGTCTCAGGCTAGCCCAGGGCTGTGCTTAAAGGGTCCCGACCCCCACCCCGGAAAGACAGTTCTCAGGGGTGCCCCGCTTGCAAAGCAGTCCTGGCTTGGATTGCCCGGACTACCCACACTGGGCACATCACACCACTCGGCCATCAGCCCGGCTGCACTTGCCGCAGGCTGCCATCTGG